ACAAAAAGACTCAAAAACCTGACGGATGTAATTTTTTTGTAGAGGCTACTTCATGTTAATATAGCTGTCCCAAATAATCACAATGTTAAAAAGAGGGGAGACGCTTATTTTCAGCATGATTAGACCTCTGGGTCTACATTATATATTTACACATTAGCCCAATGACGACCAGGAAGACCCATATTTCATTGAAACATGACTTGGACTAGATGAAACCAAGAAAATTTTGGGGAAAATTGTTCTATCAAGATCTCACTAGGTTGATGGCACGTTACGTATTACGTCTTGATATATGCGTACTGCACACGCGATACAAGCACCAGCGACGAATAACCATCTTAATGTGATCTTTTGAGGTAAAAATATCCAAGTGTTTTACATCATAGACGATCTGATTGCATCTTAGCAGAGTCGGGATTCACATTAAGTTGTGTAGCAAGCCGCAGTCACGTTTCCCAGCATATACCCTATGGGCTGAAACAGTGCGCCCCATCAGTTTTCTCGGTCTCTCTTATGTGTCTCTGAGCTGTAGAAAGCTGTTTGAGTGGTTTCATTGTGTTGGGGGTGTCACATTTTTGTGGTTATAACGGAAGTGATTTCAAAACGATCACCTTGGTGCAATGGTTGTAAAAAAGTAGGCTCTGTGCAGTGAATTCAGTTGATACTCATGTGACAGCGTCCGAGCAATAATATGAAAAAATCGGTCCTGTGCAGCGGAGGGATAAAAATCTTCCCGATCGATCCGCGCTTGAACCACATCTATAAAGATCCCACTGCGATGCTATGGAATTCCATACCTGTCGTCGTGCCTCGCCCGTCGTCCGTCGTGCAGAATTTGATGAAAACAAGTCGGCACGTTTTTACAGTATGCAAATTAGAATTGGAATGTGGATAAGTTGGCCTGAACATTTTTTTTGAAAATGTTTGCCCCCCAAAAAATCTTGGTTGAATTCGCAGAAAGAGGACATTTTCTTGTCAAGGGGCAAGTGTAGTCTAACATTATTGGCATCAATTATGGGACTAGTATTGCTGGTGGGATTTGTACTTCTATTGGGAAAAAATCTTTAGAAGTGAATGGAATCATCACATTGTCATTTGTTAAACCCCGGCTTTTGCATGTCCTATGCAACCTATTTGATGGTCGATGCACCACAGGCGACGCGCGACGGCAGATATGGAATTCCATAACGATGCTGATTCGACAAGACTTCCTACGTGTTTGTTGTCCTTCCTAGGTTGTTAAATTACTGTTACTTTGATTTGAAGCTACTTCGACCCTTTGTCATGAAGACCCTACAACGTATGAGTTTTTACTAGAATGTAAAAGATCTCACCGCGATGGGCCACGCTCTCCCGAATTTTCGATACATAGTAAGATTGTGTGTGAGTGTAATGGGGGTTTAAAGTAGGCAAATATAGGTTTGTTCGTTAGTCGCCTTTAAATCTTAAACATTCCATTTAAAATTCGCCAGAACAACTTACAGAGAATTTAACAAAAAATGATAAATTGTAAATAAAATGTAAATGAATAGAATGTGCAGCGTTACGTTGTCTGAGTATTACCATCTTTTGGTAGAACAACGCTCTGTATCCTGGTGATTACGTCATTCTTGGTCGCCTCTGCGTAGAACACACCCGTCCTGTCCAGACCTCCTTCCTCTGGCAATCGAAGCAATCTCACTGTACATCCCAACGATGAATCCACTATCTCGCCTGAACCTGATGGAAGTCCAGTTGTGACTTGGCGACCAAATGAAACATTGGACGCAAAATCGTCTGGTTCCCTGTACACTGCGATGACTGAATCGTTATCTCCAGTTGGACCAATGAGAGCAGGGTTGACAACCACAGTGAAATCCACAGAGTTAACTGCAATGGTAAAACAAACAAATCTTTGTACTTGCTGGGTGTTTCTGACAAACTGTATTAATTTAAAAATAAAACAAATGAAAATAATGGAACTGATGACCGTTTACAGAGCAACACCTTAATTGACGACAATCAGGATTTTAGGTTATGGACAGCTGATAACCACTCCTTAATTTACTAGCAGGTGAATAGAATTCTTTCAATGAATTTTTAATGAACATTAGTGTCAAGTTTACCTTTTCAATGAATTTTAAATGAACATTAGTGTCAAGTTTACCTTTTTGGTTGAAATCACACGCAGCTACTGTCACCTCGCACAGTCCAAGGCTTGCCATTCCGGGTATATCAACGCTGACATAGCGGGCAAGTACAGGCGGATGACAGGTAAACTCCGTAAAGTCATTGGGTGAGGGTTGGGGTTGACTGGTTTTACACTCCACATTACTCGTGTGATTATCACTCAGACCTGCACGTAGAGATGCACGCTGCAAAGCAGCCCCTGGATAATCGAGTTTATTTTGTAATTTAGATTAGGAATGACCTTTACAGCTTAAAAACAGATTTACAGTGGGCCAATTTTATGACATCTTGGTGACATTGTCGTCTTTGATATACCGCATCTTGATGTTTATCAGTGAAAAGAATTGATTCAACTTTGTGCCTTATTTTTTTTTCTTTATAAAACTAAGACAATTTAGCCATTCTTATTTGTGGAGAGGCTGTCACGTTTCTGGTCTAAAACGGTTGACAAAGCACAGCCTTGCGAGTGGCACATACTTAAACATAGTTAGAGCCTGAAAAACTAAAAAAAGTAAGACTGTGGAGCAATGTTGATAGACATTTCTGACTTTTAAAAACGTGCTTTCACTTTCTGCCTCTCAAAAGATCATGATTGAGGATAACATTTGGCCAGTCTCAAACGGAGCAGGACGTTGAAAGCTGATATCTCCCTACCTTTTTCTTTTATGTTAATGGTAGATGCAAGAAATGTTATTGGATCGAAATCACAATGAATGCAGCAAAGTAGTTTGCAGGATTGATCAATCAACATAAACTTGTTAAAGAGGAACTTTAAAAATTGCATTTTGTTAAAATATCCAAATGGTCTAGACTACATAGTCTTACCATGTACAGTAGGCCAAACTCGGATTGCCTCGACGCATTGACTTGTTTCGAAATCCAACTTCCACCATGGGTTCATTTCATTAACTGATAATTGTAGAAATGTGAAAATATTAAATGTTTGATAAAAACACATTAAAGTAAAGGCTGAAAATGTCTTGCTGATTGTCAGTTATCTACTATTTTACTGTAAAAAGTTAGCTTCTACAATACATACATGCAATATTTTACTTAGCTGAAGAGGCGTGACCATGAAAAATATAAAGAAAAGACAGATGTCAGGAAACTTTGGTTTTTCCTTTGGAAAGTTAATTTGAAAGGCTTCAAAGAGGACGCTCCGGCGGATCTGACTCACCCGTCTCGCTGCAATACGGCTCAGAAGGAAGATTGTCCAAGGCTAGGCTAGCAATGGAATTTCCTGATGTTGAGCTTTGGTAACTTCGCTTTTCAGTCAAATTAAGGGCTGCACGAAGAAGATTTGTGTTACAGTTACGCAATAATTAAGTCTTCCTGTTACACATGAGCTGAGCACCTATGGAACTGCATGGTTATCGTACGGCATTATGTTGACACCATTTTTTGGTTCGATTGGTTTATTTCACGGAATTGGCTTTACATAAACTGAATAAAAATGTTAATTCTATCAAAATCTGTTTGTATATACCAGCAGATGCTGCCAGTGCATTGTTCAGGAAAGCCAATGACGGGTTACTTTGCGTGTATTTCTTTGCTGTTGTTTCAAACTTTCGCGTCACATACCTACATGCCAGCAAATAGATCCACAAGTGCTTTAGGTGCAGGTGTCTTTTTATTGTTAGCCTTGGGGAATCTGACAAAAATTAGTATGTAAAACAATAAGAGGATTCAATAAGTCAATGTTTACCTGCTGGATGGAGATCACAAGGCCATATTCTGACTTCACAGAGTATAAGAGCTGTCTGTCTTGGAATTTCAATTCTCACATACTGTGCGAGTCTGGGCGGATCGCAGGTGAATTCAATCCAATCATTGATCAAGGCTTGATACTGAGTCACGTTAGAACCACACTTCTTATCAACTCTGGGCGTGTTACTCAAGCTAGCACGTACCTCAGCACCCATTAAATTCAGTCTAGCGCTGTCTGAAATTTAAGCAGACGACATGATTTAAATTGCAACTTATTGTTTCAGTGTCGTAATNGATCGCAGACCAAATGTCGACGATCACCTTTATACACAGTTCACAATGCACGTACTCGCAGGTAACGCCAAACTATTGCCCAACACTGAGGTAAACAATGCTGCCCCCGTGTTCGCTTCTGAACTTTAAAGACAGAAAGACACTGGTTAGAAGAGGCATGTAGAAAGAGAGCGCTTTTCTAAAGGTCCTCATGTGATCATTTATTAATTGCAAAAAATTATCAACCTCTGTTTGCAACACATACGCCTACTATCTCTGTCCATGCCTTTTCTTATGGCCTGCTTCGTTGTGGCCGTGTTGACCTCTTCCACCATGACCTCTGTCAACTGAACTATAGTCTGAGGGTCGCTTCCATGGATATCCACGCTAACGTATTGCGCAATGACGTACGGCTCCGGAGTGAAATCTATCACCGCTCTGCTAAGAGTTTGACTGGCTGCAACTCGTCCTATCTCCGGGTTGAGCAGGTGGTTGGAGTTCAGTCCAGCACGAACTACATTGCCTTCTAATCGATGGGCTACAAAAATACACCGACAATTGATCATAAATAATACGCAACACTAAAACCAGACAATTTAGAGTCAAGACGGCGGCCGTATGATTCAGGGGAGTCCAAAAAAGTTATTTCAGTTACAAATGGATTGTCAGGGATGATGCCTGGTTTACCCAGTTTTCATAGCCGTTGCTGGTTATTTACGCTCTCATGGGTGATTTCTAACGTTATTTTTAAATTTACTGTATAAATAAAGAACTGGAGCATGTTTTTACATCACCGTTGAGGTTAAAGCATTATAAGATCAGTTGTTTTTTATTAGGTCAGAGTGAAAGAGGCCAAAAGGAAACGATATTTGCACAAGATGCGTAGCTAAAGGACACATGATATATGTATCTGTCGGCAAGATCCGAGCACCACTCTGTATCGTTTAAATTGGTCGTTACACAACGAGGATGTTTGGAATTAATCGTCTGGAATTAAATGTGCTACTTCCGAACTTTATGGTGTGCAACTGTGGAAAATAATGCTTGTTGGACTAGTCCAGCAATATCAAGCAAAACTTAGGTATACCATAGAGGAAAGACACAGGAGTAACGACCCTGGCACGTCTAAGTGCTTGAAGATCAACGTCGCCCGGTCAGATGAACAATAGTAAACATTTCAAAAATACCTGATTGCCACCTGCAGCTTAGCCGGACATGTGGGGCCAGTAATACCTTAGCAATATCTGTGGTGCTTTCTTTGCAATTAACAATGGTCTATCGCCGTGAATAGGATCAAAATCTAACGTAAGATTTACTTTTCCTGTCGTGAATTATCCTTTTTTTTAATTTTTCCAATATGCATGCAATATTTGTAATTTTGTTTTATCACTCCAAAGCATCATTTTTCAAATCTGTGTACGATTTTGGCTGAGACTGGCCGACAACATGTTGACCACCACAGGACTGTTAAGTTCACTGAAAACCAAATGCTCTGTTTCATCACAAGGAAAGATAACGTGATCTCACATAATACCTACGTGCACTACACTTTGTCTCTTAAAAACAGGGGGTGGGGAAGACATTGGTAACTGGGTCAGTCTTGTTCCAGCAATGACAGGATTCTGCTGACACGTTTGTTTCTAAAACAAATTAAATAAGACAGTTTTTTCAAAGGGACGAGAGCTGTTTACTCTATACTGTCCGTATCACCATTTATGCGCAGGGAACATCATTTTTTGAAGAAAGCTGTTCAAACTTGCGTAGCGAGTTAGCTGTAGAGAATAGGGAGGCAGAATGGCTAATGATGTTCATGGGTAGACAGCTTTCACTTGGAAATGTATATTCATCAGCAATGCTGTTTCTACATTGAAAACTTCTCTTCACTTGTGGAGGCCCTGTACCCATCACGTCGCTGGCATAGGTAAATGGAAGGTTCGCCACTATGAAGTACAAACGCGACATATCCGTTTATGTCTCCCAGTGCATAACATATTAGAAACTTGCCATCGTCTTAAATAGTCATTCATCCTGTCTTTTCACGTCTCCTTTAACCGAGCCCGCCTTTCCCCCAAGGTATATGCACTGAATACTTGCCATGATGTATTGCATTTATAAGTGTGATTTTCCTCAAACAGTGGACACCGCCGAGGTCCACTTTCCACCAAGGGTTGGTGCGTTGCTCTAGTGTTCTCCAACCTGTTTGAACGAGTAGGAACCGTGCTATTTACCAGAGAGAATTTCCATAAGTAATAACAGTATACCCAGAGGTCAACGTTCCCTCAACAGTTGACGAGGATCATAATGTTCAGCATCCACAATTGTTCAAGTGTATAAAATTGTTCATACAGAAAGAATCATTCAGATGGGTAAATTAAGTATGTTACTGGCTTTTCTAAAATTTTAAATTTACCGATGAATTTGAGTTATTTTCTTTCGAGCTTCACGACAAAATCACACCATCGAAGGCAATATTCACTCACGTACTGAGTGAAGAATTAGTTTGAATTGTATCAGAATTTCATAAGCGCTTTACCTGCTCAGCATATAAATCCTTCAAGACGATAGTTTAGACAAATTCTATATTCATTAAAGCACTAAATGCTATTTGCCTTACTACAGTGTGCTATAAGAATAATCTTATCATTTTCATTTTCTGTCACATTAAACTGAGATGATTATGACTTCCGGTTGACTTGTGTAAGAGGCGGTGAAAGACTTACCAGTGTGCGAGAATGTACTGAGGTCTCGGTCAACAGCGAACCGTGCGTAGAAGGGATCATCTCCATCGACAGAATTCTGCGTTGTTATGACTTCACTACCTCGCAAATCAAGAGATAGTCCTGCGTGTTGCAATACATATAACAGATTGAACGATTACAGGGTCCTTTTTACAACATGCACTTTTTTGGTAAATTTATTCCCCACGAGAAATAAAAAGAAATAAGAGAACTGTGCATTCTTTTCCCCACAGCTGAGTCAGGTCAATTAGGACACAATTTACCATATTGGCTCAGTGTGTTTTCTATTGAAATTGTGAAAACACTTTCTAAAATATTTCTTACAAACATTGGTTAATTGCTATGTCCTTGCACAACTATAAAAGCTAGAAACAAAATAATTGGAGAATCAAATACAAGAGAATCCTGCATTTGCTTGTGAAAAGATACCTTATATTATAGTTTTGATCAGGGAAAAAAGTACCAAGTAGCAAAACAAACAAAAAGAAACACAAATATGCCCAAGTTGCCCTCTAATGGGACAAACAAAATTTTGAATGTTAATTGAGACAAGAAGCAGCAGCTTAAATGATTTTATTAAAAATGTATTGCATTGACTTTTTGGGGTTACGCTAAGCAAGTTAGTGTATTACAAGTTCTCTTTCTACTGTTTACGGCTTTGGTTGATGCTGGCCAGTTCCGTGTTTGGTTTTGTTTGTTCGTCTGTTTTTGTAGTCACTTTGATTACAATATCATTGGAAACCCCTCACATCGTTTACCAACGGTAGGATCGTGCTAGTTGTTGTAATGAAAATCAGGCTCATGTTGCTTTTCCTACAAGTATGAAAACCGAAAATCCACTCATTGTTAATTCGGACATCACAGCAAGTGCATTAATCGTGATTATGGGTTAACATAGCACAGGTTCTCTTGGTCACCTTACTTCAAAACTCTTTCATTTGAAGTCGTTTTAAATGGCATGCTTAAATTGTAGCCACACTCGAACGTCAAATGTGTTAATTGATTTCATTTTCGAGGCAATTTCTTAAATCATTCAGTACAAATGAAAATGGTTTTCTTACTTATCCAAATCCGTGGGATGCCTTCTGAAGGGGCGGGTCAAGATTTCAGGTTCATCAACCAGCATGTTCTGATATTTTCTTTTTGGCAAAACATGACTCCTGGTTGGTATTTGCATTTATCAATCGAATTTACTTGAAAAAAAATGGAAAAAAAAATCAAACAAATTCACCAGGACACATTCTTAAGGTAAAGATTAAAGCTTTTGGTTGTCATTGCCAAATGTGGCATTCACTATTAGACTAACACCTCTTTAGACCCTGGGTCTTGGCTTAGA